TGCACGGATGGTTCTCCGGATCCGGGCCTCCGTGCAGCGGCTCGCTCGGTCGTTGGGGCAACGAGGTGGCTGCCTTGCTTAGCTTCGCCATCGAAGAGATCAACAATCGCACCGATCTCTTGCCGAATATCACCATCGGCTACGACATTCGCGACAACTGCTACTCGGAGACCCTGTCGGTGTGGACGGCGCTCAGCCTGGCAAGCACATCCGAGAGACCCCAGGAAGATGTCGAGTTCACCAAGATCAGTCCGGCAGAGTACGGGAATCTTTTCTGCATCATAGGAACTCAATCGAGTGCCACTACAATTCCGACGGCGCAGGCCGCCAGCCTGTATCGCATCCCTGTCATCTCTCCATTTGCAACAAGCAACGAACTCAGCGACAAGCGCCGGTTCCCCTATTTTCTCCGCACGGTCCCTCCGGACAGCCTGCAGGCAAAAGCCATCGCCGATATTCTTCTACAATTTGGATGGAAGTACGTCGGTCTGTATTTCCAGTTGAATACCTACGGAATTCACGGAGCTCAGGCCTTGCTAGACCTCGCAGAGCTGCACGGCATATGTGTCGCTTTTTCCGTTCCCGTTCGGTCTCCGGGAACCAAGGCGGAGCTCTACGACGCCGTCAGTAGACTAGCTGCCTTCCCCAAAGCGCGAGTTGTGGTCATTATAAGTGAGGTCACAGCTGCAGGCAGCATCGTCAGAACAATCGAGGAACTCTTCGGTATACCTCACAATATAACATTTGTTGGCAGCGATGCCTGGGCATTTCCGAGTACAATGCATGCTAACCATGGCGTCGATCTGCGGGGACTGCAAGGTAGCATTTATGTGCAGCTTAAATACAATCAAATTCCTGGTTTCGAAGAATACTTCCGCTATATAGAGACAAGAGACGTAACATTCTCCTCGTGGTTTCAGGGTTTCAAGGATAAATGGATGAAGGACAATCAGTGCTCCGATATCGCTCTTTGTCCGATAAGAATTGCAGCCAATGACAACTTTTTGGTCGATGCTGTTTATGCATTCGCGTACGGCCTGCAAGACTTGTTGCGCGATCGATGTAACGACACCACCGACTGTAATTCCACGATTCAGGCTATAAGAGGACAGGATTTTCTACCCTACTTACTGGGTCTCCGATTCCAAGGACTTGCCGGGAAGTACGTTTTCGATGTAAACGGTAATCCCGGCGGAAAGTACAAAATACTGAACTACCAGTTCCAAGACGATGTCTTTCAAGTGGTTAGACTTGGAGAATGGGAGGCATCAGAGGACAGACGACTTGACGTGAATTTATCGGCTATTCAGTGGGTCGGGGGGTCACGAGACCCTCCTGCCTCGCTATGCCGAGAGATCTGCACATCGGGTCACATCGAGGTACCGTTGGAGGAAAAATGCTGCTTCGGTTGTCAACAATGTCCAAACAACGCCATTGTTCAAAACAACCTATGCGAACAATGCCCAGTGGATGAGTGGCCAGATGCTAGTTTTCAAGTTTGCCGTCCGATTGTGCCGACGCCTCCAAGTTGGAGCGAGCCCACAGTGGTTTCCATCCTGATCCTTTCAGGCCTCGGACTGGTCCTGTCCCTTCTTGCAGCGCTGGGACTCTTCCACTACCGGCACCACGTGCTGATCAAAGCCGCCAGCCGTGAGCTGAGCAGCATCAACATCTTGGGCCTCACTCTAGCCTTCCTTGCTCCATTCTCGCTTCTCGTACCACCTACAGCTGTCTCTTGCCGTGCCTCGGAGATCATCGTCGCCTTGTGTTTCACCCTGACGTACGCACCGACTCTGCTGAAGGTCAACCGGATCTACAGGATCTTTGACGCCGGCAAGAAGTCCAACAAGCCCCCTCGTTTCATGGGCCCTCGTAGTCAGCTCACAATTGTACTGGGCGTCTTTGCAGCAATGGTAAGTTGTTTTGTTCTATGCTTTCGAACAATCATTTACGGTTTCTTTACCACAATACATTCCCAGGCCCATAAACCATAGATATAGCCGCTGGAACTTGGTTAGGTCCGACCAGCAGCCAGGATTGTTGGTGTCTCAATAACTGAAACTCAAATAAGTGATGAACACGCAATACACGTGTTCTTGGCTTTTGTTTAATATAGACTGCTAACCCTTTGGCTATGACTCCTCTCTGGGTTTTTGTTTGAGTAATAAACCTTTTGTAACATTTTAGCCTCAATCGCATAGGCCTACTTATTATTCTTTGGCCGATTTGTGCGAAATTGTTTGATTTAAATTCAGTTTGTCTATTAAAGGGTCCAGCCACGGACCTCACTCAGTGTAACATCCCAGCGTGCACCCTTTCTCTCAGTTGCGTTAATGCCTAATAGATTTCTGCAACGTATCCATACAGATACAGAAAGGGGCACTGCGTCCTGAAATCCCCGTAAATGTCATGCTTTGGATTGTTTAATTGTCCGATTTCAAACATCTGCTTGAAAGGAAACCAAACTTAATGTCTTAGCTTAATGACCGTTCCCGAGAAAAGACCAAAAAAAGAACCGGTTGTTTAGGGCCTACATCGGACACGACGGAGTAGGCATACGTTTTTCTTGTCGTTTCCATTCAATGTACGATACACCTTGTGTGTGTCACATAAATATTACACACAGCACCAATGCATAAATGAGGTTTCTTACACGTCCGCAAAAGGCTACAAAACGCGCTTTGAACGAAATGATGTTAATCCGAAAAAAACATTTAAAAGTAGGTTATAAACATCCACACAACTATCCTTAAAAAAATGGGCGTTTTGGTGTTATTCCTGCGTGTGTTAATTATGCGTGCGCGCGAGAACGACTTTCGGGGTCCACTTTTGCGACCCCAAAAAGTCGATCTGTTTGGGTGCTATAGTTGTGATTTCATCCGTAATGTATTTGCCTTTTGCGGACGTGTAAGAAACCACATTTGCGCATTGGTGCTGTATACGTACGTTATAGTAGACATACACAACATACATACTGTTGACTGAACATGCTGGAAACGACAGGAAAAACGTAATCGTACTCCGTCGTGTCCGATGTAACAACCGGTATTTTCCGTCTTTTCTCGGGAGCGGTAAGACATTAGGTTGGTTTCCTTTCAACCAGATGTTTGAAAACGGATATGTTAACAATCCAAAACATGACATTTTCGAGGATTTCAGGACCCCGTGCACCTTTAATCCTTTTCTTTACTTACAATCAAGTGGGATATTTCAAATATGTTGGCATTTTCATTTTCGGAATATTTTCTACGGCAGATAGGTACAGGAATTGTGCCTTAGATGATACATGTATGTGGCGTTTGGCACACAGTCAAAGTATGCTTTAAGAAAGATATTCGGCTATAGAGAGGTACAAAAAAAGCAAGCAATGGTGTCCATTTTCAAAATGGCTGCCACCGCTTGTTATTTAATTTACTTTTATTGTTCACATGACAAATCTGCGATGACCCTTTAGCCGAATATCGCTCTTAGGACATACATTTTCACTGTGTGTCAATACTTGTATCGTCAAGGGTACAATTCTCCAAGGGTAAGCATTTTACCAATCTGCCCTCCAGTTTGCAAATGGTATGCATTACATTCAAAATGTGAAAATTGACTTAAGACTGTGGGGTTTCTTTCATATGTGACGTTGTCCTTTGATTCTAGGTTGTGGTTGCTGTCGCCGGCACATTAGCAAGTCCCACACTGCCAGCTAAGCTGATTTTCTACCCTCCGGCCGACTACATCGAAGCCTTCTGCAAGTTCGGCAACGGCTTCCTGGCTTCTCTGATCTGCAATCTCCTCATAGTCCTAGTCTGCTGCTACTACGCCTTCAAGGCTCGCAAGGTACCCAGCAACTACAACGAGTCCAAATTCATCGCCATCAGCGTGTACTCCACTCTGGTCTTCGGCATGGCGGCCGTGCCCGTCTACATCACGGCGGCTACCGTTCTGCAGAAGGTAGCCACGCTGTGCGTTGCCATACTGCTCAACTCCTTCCTGACGCTGTTCTGCGTCTATCTGCCAAAGCTGTACGCCATTCTACTGGCCAGGGATGTTCAGGTGAGCGAATGGCGGGCCAACGACAAGACCTCGAGCGGCACCGGATCGACTGGAGTTCAGTCAACTGTCGGAACTAGTAAAGTACAGCCAGTTTCTGGTGCCGTGGGAATAAAGTAAAGTGTACAACATCACTGGGTCATAAAAATTAGCAACGGAGTACAAGTAGAAAGATAAAACATTCTTTATAAAAGCATTCAGTGAAAATATATCACATAAAACCCGTCTGAATAATTGAAGCTTTAATAGTTTGATGGTCTCCGAGGGTCACACTTAAAGCCTCCTTGAACCTGACTGACTGACTGACTGACTGACTGACTCCCCGTAGCATTTCGTGAAGTAGGCTACATAATGCATCAAAAGATATCAATTGACTATTCTGAATCCGATTGATGGCATTTTGTGCGGTCTAGGGGCAGCCTTATAGGCATGTCTTGTCTTGTGTTTATTTCTTTTCCAATTCTGGATTGACTCCTATTTTATTAAGTAAAACTGCAAAAACAGTTGTGGCAATTAAGCGCGTTTCTGTGTGGTTTTAACTTCGTGTGGCACAGTGGCAGGCAATTTACAGAAATTTCATGTAATCTCCAAGAAGGAGACAAAAGACAATTTGTTGAAATGTTCTAAGGAATTTCCATAAACTGTTAGGAAAGTGTTTTTTCTTCTTTGTTAGGATTCCTTCTGTCTCTTTGTTTATTTGGTTGCCTCCAGATTGCCTGTGGAAATTGTCTCGTGTGATGCACACAGGTGTATATACCTATATCTACGTGACAACGTGTACATGAACACAAACAGCGCTCATGGTCTCGATAGGTCATTCGGGTAGAGAATTAAGTCGTGTCTTTCCATATTCACACTCAATTTAGCTCTAAGCTATACAATGAAATGATCAGCAAATGCTTGTAATTTGTAGGCCATACGAAACCAAGCCACCAATAGGGTTTACGACCGGTGAAAGCATGAAGTGGGTTCTTTTAAAAGCACGCATAGGAACATTTGCCATTACCTACATGTATATACGTACCTACCGGTTTAACGAAAAACTCTTTGCGCAAAGTGACCATAGAACTGGTGCCAAAAACCCCGTTAAATTATTCCGCCTGAAATGGTATCATTCCGAAGTTAACAATCATAGAAGGTGGTTTAAGAAAATGTGCCCGCGAACACAGTTTTTTTAAGTGCGTAATTACAATAGAATCCGTACAGATCCAACACCATTGTGCATACGTTTTCTATGTTTTCTCAAAATGCACAGTTAAGTATACTCTGAGCTTAGTTGAAACTTCAACAAGTCCATGCACCCTTTGATCATGTTTATTGGTTAAAACAGAAAAGAAATGCCCAAAAAGCAAATTATCCTGTGTCCCGTTTATTCGGTTTTATTTTAAAACGGAGGGTTGTGAATTCTTCAAATGCTGCTTTTATTCATACGCCCTAATATATATGCCTTGGTATCTAGGACCACACGCACCGACACGAGTTTATGTATTCAGATTCACACTATCCAGGATAACATCATCTGCTTGCAGGCAATTAATTATTGCGTTTGTATATAAATGCGTAAATTATCATCGGTCCCCTTGGATAAACGAGGGGGAAAGCGGCAGGCAGTAAAGGAAGCAAGAAATACTCCGAATCAAAAGAAAAAAAACAATGTTTTCTGCGTGGGAAGTAGCATCTACAGCTGATGCCCTTGTTAACAAAAAAATATATGGCCAGTATAGCCGGTGGCAGTGCGTAGGCATCGAACGCGAACAAAGTTGCCTTCGAGCTCAGATGTTGATTTACCATTCAATGCTTTAATGCATTTTAGCTTAGATGTTACAATATTATATTTTATGTGCTAATTATGTACCAATGAAATGAAACAGTATAATGCATTATGTTGTCCACAAACCTCATGCACATAAGATAATTCAACGTTCAATAATTATGCTATGTCTCTTTAAATATTTTGTCGTAGCGTATATACATGCGTTACGTGCACCTTGTTTCACATGTTACTAATGTCAACATGGATTTAATGTTCTTTCACCGAAAGCATTAACATCACTGAGTTTCTTGAGAGCATTAATCTGAGGCTCATCGATCACTGTACACTTTGCGATGTGAGACACATTATAATCCAACTTATTCATACATTGTGATGTACTAAAAACGACCAAATCCTTTAAGAGTAATATATTTATAATTGGTCGCCAAGTTGTATCGTATAGCATACAACGCTACTGTGATATTTAAAGTGTATTAAGCTAACAATTGTACAACCATGCAATAACGGAGTCTTATATAGCGCACGTATCTACCAACAATTAGGTACTCAAGGCAATGGTAATGTAGAATTAGTTACATATCCGTGTGTTGCACACTTAAAACATTCGAAACAATTATGCTAGTGTGACACGATTATATAATGGTGGACTTGATAGTAAGATCACGATTTTTAACTGAGGTGGGTCTCGATTCGTAAGGTTCTGTGATACATCGTGTGTTGCACACTTATATTCAAAATAACTACGTTAGTGTGAAACAATTATACAGGGTGAGTCAAAAAAAGCGGAACCCAAACCCTCCCAAAAAATATATTTATATTTTAAAAATATGTAGCACCAAAAATAATGACTGGAAATCCAATTTCAAAAGCTACTTTTAGATGAAAAAATTACTGGAATTGCTCAATCCGTTCAAAGAATATCACCATTTAAACGCAATGACCCTGAAACCTGTTCTGTCAAAAAAAAACCAATTTATTGTGTATTCTGACTGTTTGGAACAACAAAAAAATGACACAGAATATTCTTGTTTCAACAACTTTGTCAACAACTGTAGTACACAATATCTTCATTAACAACCCTGGTTAGGTTTTTATTAAACACGGGCCTTCAAAGGACTTAGTTGAATATTTGTAACTTTTAAACTGAGGGTTTATCGCTGGTGATGCTTGAAGACAACTGTGACGACACTTCTTGAAATCGCACTTTTGGCTGAAAGAGTTTTAGGGTCATTGTGTTTATATGGTGATATTCTTTGAACTGATTGAGCAATTTCGTCATTTTTTCATCTAAAAGTAGCTTATGACATTGGCTTTCCAGTCATTATGTTTGGTGCTACGTATTTTTTTAAATATGAAATATAATTATTGGGGGTTTGGGTTCCGCTTCTTTTTGACTCACCCTGTATTATGGCGGACCTGATGGTTGGATCACGACTTTAATTGGCGAGTTTAATTTGAAAACTTTTGGATCTCGATCTTAACGTCATGCTTTGTTTCACAGAATCCCCGAAAATGATTCATTTTGATATTTCATCTTAGGCTACACTACTGTATGTCTAAGAACATACATCATTTTGCTTTCGCAGCATCCTGAATCATGGCACCTGGTGTGCATGTGTTGTCATTTTCAGAAAAGTGGTATTTTTGTATCAATTTCGAATGATGGTCGGCCGCGACCATCGAAAGAAAAAACTGTACTTTTCTTCAAATATTGCCCCGAATTTACCAAATCTAGTTAGTCCATATTTTGTTTGCAATCGGTTACACATCCGTGAACGGGTATGCAAGCCAGCTAGACTGGTTTTCCTGACCATACAAATATTCTCCGATGTATGTAAATTGCTCCGTTTTATCTGAATTAGTGGGGCCAGAGAACCAGACTACAATAACAGCATTTATTCCAGCATCTGTGAACACAAAACAGGTCAGTGTAACAATATTTGCTTTAAAATA